AACAAGACACGTAATAACAAGTGTTGGAGAGTTTGTGGAGAAAAGAAATCCTCATTCACTGCTCATGGGAATGTAAACTGATTCAGCCACTCTGGAAAACAGCATGGGGTTTCCTCAAAAAATTAAGAGTAGGCTTACCATAGAATCAGCAAATGCTTTTTTGGGTATCTGTTGAAATATTTTGAAAACATGTATTCACAAAGATATGTGAACCATTATGTTCATTGCAGCACTCTTCCTGGTGACCAAAATATGGAAACAACCAGAGTGTCCTTCTATAAATGATTGGCTAAAGAAGATGTGGTACATATATACAATGGGATACTACTCAGTCATAAAAAAGATGAAATATTGCCATTTGCATCAACATGGATGGAACTTGAGAAAGTGTTAAGTGAAAGAAAAAAACAAACAATACAATTAAAAACTGAGCAGAAAACAAAAAGACTTGTATGCATACATATAAGCATAACCAGATACTACTCAGTCATAAAAAAGATGAAATATTGCCATTTGCATCAACATGGATGGAACTTGAGAAAGTGTTAAGTGAAATAAGTCAGATTGAAAAAGTCAAGAACCATATAATTTTACTCATTTGTGTAATACAAAACTGAAAGTAACAAATGAACCAAGAAGACAAAGAAAAACCCGTAGATACAGATAACAACATCGTGGTTACCAGAAAAAAGAGTGGAGAGCAATAAATGGTAAAGGGAGTGAAATACATGGTGACAGAAGAATTGACTTTGGGTCATGGGCACACAATATTTGCCCATACATATATATATGATGTATCCTAGAATTGTATACTTAACACCTATATAATTTTATTAACCAATGGCACCCCAATAAATTTTAAATAGTAAAATATCAAATCAGTACCTCACTTTACAACTTAAGAAATAAAAAAATTGCTAAATGTAAGAAAGAAGTAGTAAATTTTAGGATGAAAATAAGATTTCCAATGGAATAACAATAAAGTTTCAATAAAAAAAGTTGATGCTTTTAAAATATCAACAAAATTTGCAAACCCTTAGCTAAATTTATTAAGAAAAGCAGAGAGAAGATGCAAATAAATTTAAAAAATAAAAACTGGTTATTACTAGCAACATTACAAAAATAAAAAGGATTATAAAAGAATAATCTGAATAATTGTTGCCCAAAATTATACCCTCTAAATGGGTAAATTTCTAAAAGCACACAAATTATTAAAATTAACTCAAGATGATAGAACATCTGAACAGATCGATAATAATTTAAAAGATTGAATTAGTGTTTTAAAAAGATTACAAGGAAATTATGACTTCATTGGAGAATTCTACCAGTTTAAAAATAATTAACACCAACCTTTCTCAATCTCCTCCAAATAATAGGAACAGAGGAAACAAGTCCTAATTTATTGTATGAAGCCAGTATTACTTTATTCTCAAAAGTAAACAATGATAAGACATGCAAATAAATCTACAGGCCAGTTTCCTTTAAAAACATAAATGTAAATATTTTTTTAAAAAATGCTAGCAAGCCAAGTTTAATAACATATTAAAAAGGTTATACATAATGATCAAATGGGATTTACTCCAGGAATACATGAGTTGTTCAACTTTAAAAAAAATGAATATAATACATCACATTAATAAAATAAATAAAAAAACACATGTGACATTTCAACTGACCCTCAAAGAATATTTTTTAATATATTTTATTGATTTTTTACAGAGAGGAAGGGAAAGGGATCGATGAGAGAGAAACATCGATCAGCTGCCTCCTGCACACTCCCTACCGGGGATGTGCCCACAACCAAGGTACATGCTCTTGACCAGAATCGAACCCGGGACCCTTCAGTCTGCAGGCCGATGCTCTATCCACTGGGCCAAACCAGTTAGGATGACCCTCAAAGAATATTTTGTAAAATCCAACACTTTTTTTTCTTTGAATTTTTGTGAGTTTCTTTGAACCAAACTGTCAACAATCACCAGAAATCCAACACTTTTTTAATTTTAAAAACACTCATTAAACCAGGAAGAGATTGGAACTTCCTCAACATGAAAAAGGGCATTTATGAAAAACCCACAGGTAACAATGGGATCAATAGCTAAAGATTAAAGAATTTCCCACTAACATCAGGAGCAAGACAAGAATGTCCACTTTTGCCACTTCTATTCAACATGGTACTTGAAAATCTAGCTAGAGGAATTAGGCAAGAAAGGGAAATAAAAGCATTCAAATTGAAAATGATGAAATGAAACCATCTCTATTCATAGAAGGCAATATCCCAATAATCCACAATAAAACATACCAGAGTTAATAAACAAATTCTGCAGTTACAAGCTAAAAACCAACACATAAAATCAGTTGTGTTTCTATCCATCAGCAATGAAATTTCCAAAGATGAAATCAAGAAAACAATTATATTTACAATAGCATCCACAACAATAATGTACCTCAAAATAAATTTAAGCAAGGAGGATGAAGACATTTCATAATTTAAAATTATAAAATATTGCTGAAAGGAATTAAAGAAAACCCAAATAATTGGGGGAAAATCCCTTATATATCATGAATTGGAAAACTTGATATTGGCTGGCAAGATTCCCATTCTACCCAAAGCTATCTATAGATTCAATGCAATTTGTATAAAAATTCCAATGGCCATTTTAGCAGAAATGGAAATTCCTGTCCTCACATTCATATGGAATTATAAGGGCCCCAAATATCCAAAACAATATCGTAAAAGAAAAGCAACATTGTAGGACTCACTCCTTCCCGATTTCAAAACTTACTATAGATATAGAATAATCAAGAATGTAGTGCAAGTATAAGGATAAATGTATAGAACAATGGAATAGAACTGAGAGGTCAGTAATAAACCCATACATCTCTGGGCAATGATTTTCAGCAAGGGTGCCAAGAGTATTCAATGAAGGAAGAATGGTCTCTTCAACAAAGAGCATTGAGACAACTTGGTATTTCCATATGTAACTTACACCATATGCAAAACAAAATTACTCAAAATGAATCAATGATTTAACTGTCAAAGCTGAAAACATAACACTCTTGGAAGAAAAAATAGGGGTAAATTGTATGCCCTTGTATTTGCTAATGATTTCTTAGGTATGACACCAGAAGTATAAGAAATAAAAATGATACAATTGATTTCATCAAACTTAAATATGTTTGTGCATCAAAGGACACTATCAAGAAAATGAAAAAAAAAACAACCTATTCAATAGGATAAAATATTTTCAAAGATATATTTGATAAGGTTCTAGTATACAGAATGTATAAAGGACTCTTACAACTCCACAACAAAAAGGCAAGTAACTCTGTTAAAACAAGGAAAGCATTTGAATACATATTTCATCAACAAGGTAAACAAATAGGAAATAAGCACAGGGAAGGATGTGCGACATTATTTATCATGAGGGAAATCCAAAGATAAACCACAACAAGATACCACTGTGCACTTCCAACAGTTGGTAAATAATTTTGTAATTAAAAAAGAAAATCACAAATACTGGTAAGAAATTGGAGCCTGTTAATACTGCTTGTGGGACTTTAAAATTGTTCGGCTGCTGTGGAAAATTTGTTTTGTGGTTACTCGAAAGATTAACATAGCATTACCAAAAGCCCCAACAATTCCACTATCATCTATATAATCAAAAGAATTAAAAATAAGATTTCAAACAAATACTTGTACATGAATGTTCATAGTAGCACTATGCAAAAGCTTACAAGCAACATAATGGAAGGAATCTATCCATCAACAGATTAATGGATATGGCATACATGTCCAATGACATATTTTCTCATAAATAAGCAATAAATTCCTGATACATGCTACAATGTGTATAACTTCAAAAACATTATGCTAATTAAAAGAAGCCAGACAAAAGAGTACACAATGTATGAGTCCACTTATATGAAAATATTCAGAATAGGCAAATTTATAGATATAAGACATAAAGGTAGTTGCCAGTGGGTAGAGGGAGACGAGAATGGGTAGTTAACTGCTTATGGGTATGGGGTTTTCTTTGGGGGTGGAAAATGATCTGAAATTATATAAAGTCCTTGCATAATATTCTGTGTGTACAAAAGGCCACTGAATTGTTCACTTTACAGTGTTTAATTTTATGTTATATGAATTTTTCCTCAATAAAAAATATTCAGATATCTATATATAGTCATTTCTGATGGAATATTGCTGGTATAATATATAAGGAACTGGAACCAGCATTTGCCCCTCAGGATCAAACAACTGAGGGTCAGGGGAGGAAGGAAAAATGCAGATACTGTATGTCCTTTGTGATGTTTGAATGTTTTTCCATGTACATCTATTATCTTTCAAATAAAACATTGACTCAGATACCGGGGACGGTTAGAGCATGAGTGGGGGGTGGAGGGGCAATGGGGCAATAAGGACACATAATCAATATAGAAAATAATTTAAAAAATAAAATAAACCATTGAAACTATTTTTTTTTAAATAAGTGAAGATCGGAGGTTCTCTAAACTCATAGTAGCAACAATTACTGATGAATGTACTCTTCGGATAAAGGGAAGAAGGGGAAGAGAAAAAAGACCATTTCTAGCAGTAGTGAAAAGGTTAGATGAAGGGAATGTGATTGAACAGATTTGAAAGGAAGTTTAGGGACTGAGAATAAAACAGAATAAATATATACATTGGCCACCATGCAGTGTAGGAGCTGGAAGAAAGTTAAGAAGATCACTTCACCCTACATATTTTGTAGCAGCTAAATAAGTCCATAGCCCAATTATGGAAAACAAACACAAACAAAAAAACAACAATAACAGCGCATTCCTCACAGAACAAATACACTATAAAAGATAAATTTTAGCAAACATTTTCGAGCAACTACTAGAAACAAGACACCATGTACTATTAAATGAAATAATCAGCAGCAACATGTTGAACTCATTCATATCAGGTGTGTCCACTAGAATGAGGATATAGCAATTGCATTTCCAAAGTCAGTTACCTTCAAATGAATCTTCTAGTCTAATATTGCAGTTTCCCTGGAGTGCAGTGTCATCTAGTACTGCAAGGTGGAATAGTGCTTAAAAAGAGTGCCTATGTGAAAATTTTGCCATCAAAATAATAGTCACAGTTCACAATGGAAATGCATCTCTTAAGGAATCTTCAGTGGGGCTGGCTTCTTTTGTCAGGCAAAGATTCTGTTATAATGGGTCCTCTGACTCATGGACATAATTAAAGAGTAAAGCTTTTCTTCCAAATGAGTTCACTAATTCACCATGATTATTTTTTTTTACTATGTGCATATTTCTACTGTGCAATATCAGCAGAAGTTTTCCTTGTTTCCAAAAATAAGCATCTTCACCTATACACTTGAAAAAACTATGCAGTACTAGTATATACCCAGAGTAATGACAAACAGTTCAACTTCATTGTGTGGTGAGAAAGGGCTGCATTGGACTTCAACAAATTAAGCGACCTTAAATTAAAAACAGGAAAACCCACCAAAAACAGAGCTTGTAAATGGGCAAAAGATTTTAGCACCAGATGAAAGAAAAACAAAAACCAATTGAATTCTTTTAAAAGAATTCAATTTCAGCTTGGATAACATTCATCTAAAGATTTCACACACACACACACCCCGCCCCTACACATTAATAGTATAAAAGACCCAGACTGTGATAACTCTAATTCAGAGCTATTCTGTGTTTGCTAAACGGAATATGACAGGGATCTGTAACAGTGCTAGACTACAGAAAATAATTAGCTGGGAAGTAACTTGATAATTCTACCACTGAGAAGAAAGAACTGAAATCAACCTTCACTTTAATTATGTGTAAGGAAGAAGGATAAATACCTACATAGATAGTAATCAGGAAAATGAAAATACATTTCTCTGTTATTGGGTAGATAGCAAGCTAGTTTTTTTTTAATATGCTCACCGCTCACCTCTTGTATAGTAAAGATAACAAATTAGTTACTGTAATACCATGAAAATATCACCACACAGTAAAATATTAGGGAAAAATGAACTTTTAATCTAATGTAATACCATACTTCTTTCCTCTGTTGCTATTCAGGCTAATTGGGAAAATTTAAGGAATTTCCTTATGAAAATTTTTCTCTGGATATTAAGATAACTGCATCATGGCAATTTGACAAATTATTAGAGTCTTCTTTTTAAAAAATATCAATTATAGTTTATAGTCAATATTATTTTTATTAGGTTTTTTCATTTATATGTGGAATCTAAAGAACAATATAATTAAACAAACAAAACAGAAATGGACTCATAGATACAGAGAACAGACTGATGGTTGCCAGAGGTGAGGGGAGTTGGGGGACTGGGTTTGAAAAAGTTGAAGGGATTGGTAGATACAAAATAGTCATGGGGATGTAAAGTACAGCATAGGAAATATAGTTAATAATATTGTAATAACTATGTATGGTGCCAGGTGGGTACTGGAAATATTAGGGGAGATACTTTGTAAAGTAAAGAGGCTTCTTTCTAGGCACAAAGCATTAGAACCTTTGTAGTAATATTATGTTTTTGCATTCTGATTTAAATTCATTGTCTGCTGCCTTTGTAATGTTGAAGGAATAGGACTTCTCTGGATTTTAGATATGAAATATCTACCACGGACATTTAGATTGTGCCTTTGCACTCACAGAAGTTTGGGTCCACCCAATCAGCTGCAGTGTGCACACACAGCGAGCGGCAGAACTGGCAGGTGCCCGGGGCTCTCAGCTGTTCCTATCACAGGCTGGTCTGTCAAGCTGCAAATTAAGGACAAATTGCTGAGCCACAGAATACTTCAGGCTGAAAAATGCCGCAATGCTTTGTAAAACAATTGAAAATTTGGCTATTCAGATTGGGAAAGCGTTGTATGTAACTGAAACTGCAAGAAGTTTTTTTGAGAGTTGAGGATTCCAATCACTGGGTCTACCCAGTGCTAGATAGCCATATCTGGTAATTTCAAATTTGATCTGCAATCCTGTTCTTTAACTCTAGGTAGTGAAGAGCATGATGGTCTAGTTCAGGGGTGGGCAAACGTTTTGACTCGAGGGCCACAGTGGGTTCTTAAACTGGACCGGAGGGCCAGAACAAAAGCATGGATGGAGTGTGTGAACTAATATAAATTCAAAGTAAACATCATTATATAAAAGGGTACGGTCTTTTTTTTTTTTAGTTTTATTCATTTCAAACGGGCCGGATCCGGCCCGCGGGCCATAGTTTGCTAGTTGCACAGTTAAGATACAAGGGACAGACTTTGTTCTCTGCTTTTTGCCATAGCAATCCTTTACGATGTCCTAAAATCGTGCTGTTTTCATTTCATGTCTTTCATCCATGTCCCTAATACCTCTAGGTTATGAGAAGTGACAAATCCATAGTTTGAGAAAAAACTATTTTGAGATGATAAGCTAGCTGCCTTACATTATTTCATTCACTCAAGTTCTTCATGATTTGCCTTATATGACAAGTACTACACAAGATAAAGCTGTATCACATGATGAAAATACCTGAGACTTATAGTCCCTGACAAACATGGCAGAAATGGACTGGCACTTAAGACTTCACCAGATTTTCATAGCAATTAATCCACTTTCCAATTAGGACCAAAAGGATTGCCAAGGGGGGGGGTAAATAGGAATTCTACAAACCTATTAGGGGCAAGAAAAGAGCTGCCTATTATTGATATAACCTACTTTTATGGCATTTTTTAAAAAGTGTGCAAAGAGAAAAAAAGAAAATTATGTTATTAGAACAATGGATGGTATGAGAGAATAAAAGGAAACGGGAAGGTAATGCAGGTGGCTAGAATCAGTAAAAACCACAGTGGATAATATGGTCTGACTGAAAGTGTTATAACCACCTACAATCTTAAAAGAGATGATAGGGAAGATTACTGCTTTAATGATGGAAATGCAGAGTTTCTTAATGACTCCTTAGAGAAAGGGGAAGTATTTATGCCACATGAGGCAAGTTTAAACAAAGAAGGAAGATGAAAAGAAAAATTAAGGAATCTAAAATTATGCACCATTTTCCCCTCTGGGTGGTAGAAAAAAATCCTAAAGATATTAATAAAGAATAAAATCACAGAAGTTTCAAGAAAGTAGGAACTTGTCAAAAAAGCCAATGAATATTCAGAAAGGACACTCAGTCAGATAGAACTTTGTAGGTTCAGGCTGGAAGCAAACACATTTTGGGATGAAGCAGGCAGTGATGAAACCAACTCTCAGGATAGGCATAAAAAATCATATATTTCCTAGAATCCCAGGCCAAATGAACAGTGTGAGAAAGACAAGATTGGTTAGAGAGGATTTCAAGTATGTGGAGTGAATAGAGGGACTCAAGTCTTCTTATTTTATGAGATTTATTATGATCCAGAGAAATGTGTTAACACAGCAGCTGGTAGTCTCAGGAATAGTAAGAGGGAGGAGCAAACATAAATGTTAGCACACAACTTTTTCTTTGGCAAGTCATATAGGAATGTTGCAATTGCAAAGACCATGGAATAAAATCAGTGTGTCTAAGGTTCAAAGTCATGTGCCTTTATATGTACCCATTCATTTACAAGTCATTCTCTGCTGCTTACACCTTTACCTTCTTAATTCTGAGTCTTGTTACCCAATGGATAATATCGATCACTATCTCATATTAAACTAATACTCTAGTATTAGTTTAATCATAGATAGATGAATGATCCAATGAGCTATTTGGATAAAAGCCAAATATATGTAATAAAAATGTTATATATGAAATTAAGATTTCATATATAAACCAGATAAAGAATAAAGCCAAGTATGCTTGCTGGATTTTAGACAGGAGTTCATGTTTTCTAATGGAATATGACAGTCTATGTATAGGATGGCCTTACAGATTACTCCAAACCTAAGTCCACAAAAAAATCATTAAAACAGAGAATTGAATGCATTTTACTCCTACTAAAAGAAGGTGTCAAGGAAACATAATTAGTTATGAGAAAATGTGAAATTAATGAGAACATTAATTTTACATTTGAAGATCCAATGCACCTGGATTTGTGTCAACTGCAA